ACAAAATACATTACTCCTGGCAGGTGTCGAGGCAGAAATACTCAAAAAATTAGCTGAAGTGCATTTGATCGTACACTGCATGCTTTAATAATTTATCTTATACCTTATTAGTAAAGGCCTGTGTGTAGCTTGCAACTGACAAGACATGATGAAAGGCTCCCTCCGTGGAAATACAAGATATTTAGCTCAAGGTGGATGTTTTTGCATTTCAGTTTGGTAATTTCTTTCCTCACCTCACCCCAATTTTGATTAACGGTATATAAGTTTAAATCTTAGAGTACCTCTTCTTTTATCATGATCCTTCAATGAGAGCAGTGAGCTTTATTAATGACAAGTCTACCAGGCCTTTCTGAGATACCATGGCTCAGAATACTATAAATATGTATTTGTGGAAACTTCTGTAAAAACATATTTGGAGCAAATATTTTTTAGGAAAAAAAAAAAGATATTTTGGATTTATTTTTAAATTCCACTGAGCTGAAATGCTATGTTAATATTCCCAGGACTTACAGGTACAAAAGTGTAATTTCTAAGCTCAGTTTAAGAAACTGTGGGATTCTGACTAGTGATTAGGTACTGTAAATACCACCAGGTGAAAGAATTTCATCTAAGAATATTACAGAAATGCTTGAGGATTTTATTGAAGAGAAAATACAATAGAAATATTCTATCTTTAGGTACATATAAGGCCTTCTCAGAAGTAATGCTAAGGCCTTTTCAGAATTAATGCTTCCATAAAATGAGAGTACAGGGAATGGATTGATCCAATTGACTCTCCACAAATGAGGTCTTTGCCTCCATCCAGCTTATTTTATGGCAGAGTTGCATCGAAAAAAAAATGAATAAAACAACTTGTTTTTCTGTGGAGAACTCTCCTCAAAGCAGAAAATGTAAATGATGTTCTTTAAAAGTTGCCTAGGACCGTTGTTCAAGGTGCAGTGCATGGAGGGATCTAGGGGCAAGAGAGCGGCCGCGGCTCTGGATGAAGCAGTGCCATAGTGCAAACTTGGAAGCTCAGATGACAGCCCAAGGAAGCAGCTGTAACCTAAATCGTGTCTGCTTTCCAATGCAGAATTTTAGTTATAGCTGCTTCTAAGTTCTCCCCTTCCCCAGCTTGCGTGCATGCAATATATGCTACTGAATTTACTGTACGCTTTACTGACGTGCCTTAAAAACGGTTTCTTAGACAGAACAGCCTAACCCAGGGCTTTCTGCCCAAACGCAAACATTTGTATTATGCTTTTCAGTGGCACAGCTGGTACTGTGAGAGTTACATGGCATGAGAACTGAATCCGTTCTAGGATTGCATTCTAGGACTGATCCCCAAGAAGGTGATGGCTTAAACGTAGCTCGTCCTCATTTTACTGGGAGTTGCATCTTGTGTTTTACAGAGCTGCAGAACAGACTCTAAGGAGGAAGCATCTACCAGGTGTCTCTGACGGGTTGTTTTGAAAAACTGGGGTACAGATCCCAGATGTATGTACTGCTGTTATGAACGAATATTCTGTGGCAATAATGACTCGAAGGGACAGACAAGGAAGTCTGTGATGTTGCCCATGCAGTATCACAGACCAGTGCCCATGCCCGTGTGCCACAAGACAGAATCTGATGGCAAAATAGAGCCTGGTTCCTAGAAAACTTTATAGATCAGGTGAAAATATTTCCTGATGACTTCTCTTGGAACAAACTATGTAATGGGCTTGTTGTTTGAAGAGCTACATTATTGTTTTAAGTGATAAACTGTGAAATACATCTTACAAGAATCATTTTATTCTGCAAATAGTGATGTTTTTATCACAAAAAAAAGCTAATAGACATCCATAAAGAATTCATATTTGCAAGGTAATAGGAGCAGTGTCTAATATCAAAATCTTGGGATGCATCTATTGGAGTAATAACTTCTGGTTTAAAGGATTTTACAATTTCTTATAGGATCTGAGAGATTTGTGCAAACATTTCAGAAAATGTGGCTGTCAGTATAAACAAATGCATCAGAGTTCAAAATATATTATGGAAGGAGAACAAAAACATTATGTAGTTGTCAGAGTTATATCTCCAGCACAGTTAAGTTTCCACATTAGAGAATATTGGAAGAGAAAATCCTATCTACAGAAAGAAATAAAAAAAACGAGTTTAGTGTTTTACTATGATTGTCAAATTTATGGGAAACACCATGATAAAATAAAGAAGAAAATAATGCTTGCAACTTTACAGAGGAGGCAGTAAGCCATATGCACTGTAATATGGAGACTGCTGAATGAATGTTGGCTGAGCTGGCTGAACCTTGTTCAGTTTAGCACCAGAGGTGCTTTTAGATTAGACATTAGATACTATGCAGAGTCTAAATAAATGTATCTGTTGCTTAGTCTCCTGAAGGTTGGCTACTTTAATTCAGATGCAGATGCCACTGAGGGCAGCTCTGACCGTGGGGAAGTCCAGTCACCACCAGAACTCTACAAGCTTTGCTAGAATTTGTTTTGTCATTCTGTCTTTTTAGGAAGATTCACAACTGCATAATGCCTAATGCAGTGCATAATGCAATGGCAGCTTAAGAAAATGATGTCATACAAAAAGAGAACAAAATACACTCTTATGATCAAGATAGTATTAACAAAATAGCATTGTTATATGTTAGAAAAGTAAAAAAAAAAAAGTGAAAACAGAAATGAAGATCCAGTGAAATTATTGCTGAGGACTACTGCACAGGAACGTAAACAAATGCATGAGAACACTAATTTGTTTAACTGTTTAAATAGGAAATAATTTTCTCTGAGAACTTTGCACACGCTGTGTATTTGGTAGATTTTACTGGTTGTCCATGGTTTTGCAGGGACAGGCCTGTAGGAACTCAGGCCGAGAACAGGACTATATAGGAAAAAATGACAAGGCCCCTTGTAGGGTACTGGCCTATTTTCTCTGTTTTCTGATGAGTAACAACCAATCTTGTACAAATAAATATTCAGGACTTCCCAGTTTTGCTGGTTACTGAACTGTGCATTTAATAAGCAGTGTAGTCAGCCAAATTTGAAAAGTCATGAATCAGTGAAGATTAAATATCAGAATAAATCAAGCTTAGGTGGTGTCGATATCCATTCTTATGGTGTCCTTATCCATTCTTTTAAACCATCCTAGCCTTTAGCGTTAACATACATAAAAAGAATATAAAAATTGCTTATGACCATAAGTTATGACGTGCATTAGCTTAGTAGTTTTGTGAAACCTGTAAATGAAACAATGGCTTTATAAATCTCACAAAAATAATATGTGCAGATGAATGTTCATATGGAGTTCATATATAGAAAATCCTTAATAGTTTATAATCTGTGTTTTCATTTTTTTCTGCATTTAAAAGATAATCAGCTTTGATATTCTTCGGGGGGAAATAAAACAGTTGTAGCCAGTTATTTCCAATGATTTAGGAATTAGTTGTAACTAATTACTTAACATGAACCAGTTTGTCATTATCTTTGGTGAGGCTCTGCTTAATGTCGACTGTAGTCCTGATGTCCTTCTCTTGTCATGCCTTTCACTGCAGAGACCTACCCCAATTTGCTTTCCTGTTTAATTTTCATCTCTTGAGCCAGTTGGGCTCTCTTAGGTGCAGTACATATAAGAAGTCATCCTCCTTTCGTACGTCATATTCCTCTCCACCTGTATAATTTGTAATCTAAATCAGCAATACTTCAGATGTTAGAGCAGCACTTATGTCAGGCTGTCATTTGCCCCTTTTGATGCTTACTTACCTAATCAGTAGTAATCATTATTTTCCTTCTGCAATTACTATAATGGAACTGATTCCTGAAATGGAAAATGGAAGACAGCTACAGACAGTTTGGAGAGCGTTGTCACGCGCTCACAAGGGCAGGCACATTTCATAGAACACTTAACGTTTCTCAGAATTTGCCCAGAAATGCGTTTGGGGAAGGAGTAAAGCAGGCATCTGGTCTATATTTTCAGCGGACCGTGTTTCTGCTGTGTGGGAATACAAGATTTTCCCAAACAGGTCCTTCTTGGGTGGCCTGCTTTGCCCTGCTTGTTTTCAACAGGGCATGAAAAGAAAGAATAAAAAGAATGGATTCATCCTTCTTTTACATGGAAGATTTCAAGCCAACTGAAAACCCAGTTGTGATCATTTGAATTCCTAAGGCAGTATTGAAACAGAGAGGGAAAAAAAAAGACTGCAATACTGAATGTTATGGTGCCAGATCATTAAATCATTGTTTGTACTTTCTTTCCCACTTACGCTTCTTGTGAGTGTCATCAGAGTACAGTTTAACTAGATGTTCTTAAACATCTACAGTGCTAGTGGCCAGGGAGGATGGCAAGAGAAAGCTTTCCTCTTTCCAGATGGATCTGAGGCTGAACCAGTGGCTCAGCACGTGCGGCTGTGCTGCACTTCCCAGGGCTCCGGCGGCTCTTGGTGCTCGCAGCCAGGCTGAGCACGGCAATGGCAGGCACAGCAGGCAGCTCCCATTCCATGTGCTGAGCAGGAAGGTGAGTGTCTCAGCACAGCTGCCTCCTAAGGGTCAGGGGAAAGCCCAGTGGGAGGATTTTCGAGCTGGCGTGATGATTGACTGTGGGGAAGAGCCTTGCTATGCACGGGGCGCTTGTGTTGTGCTCCTCTTTATCACTAGCCAGACATTGCTTTTGAAGAAGGAGGAGGGAGAGCAGTAAGATAGCAGCAAAACAAACATATAAATGAATAATCCTGAAGCAACTCTCTGATGGCATTGAGGGTTGGGGATTTGTTTCTGTTCCTAACAGCTTCACTAATTTGGCAGTTCTTTCCAATAGGAAGACCGACTCTATGGCATCACTAGGAAATTTGTGTGAAAATCAGATGACCTGGTGATGATGCACTGCAGGCTGATTTGCTTGTTGCCTTACAAAGGGATATTATTTTGAATCAGAATACCAAGAGGAGATTGCATTTGAACTTGGTAGGTGCAATCAGAAGTACCTAGCACAGTTTCAGTCCTAATATCTGCATTTCTTCACAGGAGTTCAGACTTGCCCCGCAGAACGGCTCACACTGGAAAGGACGCCCTTCTGCCGAGAGCCCCGGGGAAACACCCTGCACCTCCAGGATGGCTTTGCAGCTCCTGTGGCCACAAGAAGGCCTGAAGATCCTGGCTATCAGCCTGGCTTTTCTGGCTGTTCTTGTTACGTTTTACTATGGGCGGATGTAAACAGGACTGTGAACTAGAAGAAGTTCTTTGTGAAAATAGTTTTAACTGTTTAACGTCTTCAGAGGAAGCACTTTTACCACCAACTCTCGTTTTTTATATATAAAAAGAAAAAGAATATATAAACTTGGCAATAATTTGTATTCATCCTATGCCTTTCCGGTCATTCATAGCTTTAGGGATACCTCTTTGCCAATATTTGAAAACCTTGTTTGGTCCATCAAAAAAATAAAAAGTTAGTCACATCTTTGCTCTTGCCTCTTTTTCTGAAATGATGCAGTGTTTGCATTATTTATTCTTTTCATATCTGCTGTTGCAGTTAAAATTGCATATAAAAAAGTCATAAAGTTATTAAGGAATCTTTTCATTGAGTAATATTTTATAGGCAGAAAATTTAAAGCTTCCATAAAGATTTTGCCTAATACAGTGTGATAGTTGGATATGCATCTTTTTCTGTTATAATCCAATACGAAATGCAAGGATTGAGCCATTACAGTCTGTTATTTTTTGCTATTGATTTTGCTGTCATGTCTGAAAGAATTTTTGGCCTGCCATCTTGCCTGTCAACTTCAGAATGAATTAATGCTGCAAAAAAATTTTTTTACATATAAAATGGTTTGAAAGGTATTGGTTTTTATCACTATATGGGAAGATTGAAGTCTGGTGGTGGAATTCTGCTGAAAGGTGGATTTAATACCTGTGCTGTTTGAACTTGGCTTAATGGCTAGAGAGCCGAATATGAATCTTGCTTTAGCTGTGTGTTGGATCAGACTGTGTATACAAAAATACTGCTCTCTTAGTGGTAAGGTTACATTTCACACACTGTATTTTGGTTTACTTTCTGCAGCCACTTCTGTCATGGCAGGATCTCCACACATCTTGAGACTGCGCTGGTCAGTCGGGGGCTGGAGTCCATGCCCAGTTGTGCTGCCGCTGCCCCATGACATTGTTCACCTGCTCATTCCCTGTCCTCTTTCTGGATCTGTATCCAAACTTCCACTTGAAAAGTCAATTTAAAATCTTAAGGGCAGGGACTGTCTTTTTTCAGTGCATTTTAGTACAGTTTTGGTGTAGTAACCATCACAGGCACATCTGAGCTCCCAACCTGGCTCTACAATGCAGGCAAATATTCCCTTGGGAAGGATTCTTTGTATGTAACAAGGTGAGAATTTCTAATAGTTACAGGCAATTAACTGGGAAAGTTCCACGACGATGCTTTCTCAGTACAGGCTGTAGATTATAAAAACAAATGTAAACCTCTTCAGGAAATTAGGTACGGCATGACCTTAATATTATATTTCTTATTTTAGCCACTGAAGGTCATGAAAACTCAAAATGCATGAGAATTTTTTAAAGACTTTGTGCTCTTGATTTGCTTTTGTTTCTTTTCAGGCTTTTATGTAGAACCAGGAATATATACGAACCAGTAACTTTTTAACAGATTGGAAATTCTCAAAAAAAAAGTGCTTTTCATTCCACAAGCTGAAGTTTTCAAGAAAGCACCACATATTTCTTAGGAAAATTGTGAGCTGACAAAATTATTAAATCTCAGCCAAAATTTTACATTTGATGGGAATAAACTATGCAAATATGTTCCATGCCTCTAGCAGTCTTGCTGTCAGCCTCTCTAGCTTATCTCATTGTAAAAATTACAGACTCGTTGCATCAGCTGTTACAGAGATTTATGAGGCCAGCGATTTAGATTCTATGCATTGTTGGCTTGAATGAGACCAACTTATTTTCCCAGAAATAATGCAATATAGAGAAAGAAGGCAAAGATTCACCTGTAGATGAATCATATGCCATTTATTCTTAAACTGAGCTTTCTATTGATATGTAGAAAGTGTTTGATATTAAGCATTTTATCATCTTCCTTTACTTTCTGAGAAGACTTTAACACTTTGTATCATACAGAAATAGAGCATTCTTCATTTTTTTTCCATTTACTTACAGCTGAAGCTTTAAAAGCTGAAGAAATTAATTCTGGTCAAGCAGCTCACCTGAACTTTCAGGTAAAACACCGACTGCGTGCTGCCTGAGGACGCTCTTGAAGACCACTGGGAAGCTTCAGTGAGCAAAGAATGAAGTAGCTCTATGTACTGTATGGAGCAGGGTAACTTGCACACATTTGATAGGTGATTTTTTTTTGTTCCCTTTTGGCTCTGCAAATGTGCCAGGTGGTGTGTTTAGTTTTTGCAGCAGTGTTGTGCTTGAGACTTAACCTCCACCAAGTGTGGTGTCTCCACAGGCCATCAGACTGGGAGACAAATCGTCTGCGAGAAGACACTAAAGAACAATGTGTCTAGCTAATAAACAAACTATATCAGTGCTTTCTGTGAAAAAAATAAATGCAGAGGAGAACCTAATTTCCTTGTGATACCAGGGAAGTCTCAATGATTTTTTCTTAAATATCTGTGGTAGCTCGGAGTCCTCTTTCACTGCTTTGAGTTGCGGAATCTCACAAACCACAAAACTTGAATAGTGAAGACATCATGAATCTCTTCTGAACAACATTAAGCATACATTTTTTTGTCCTGTGTACACATGGTTTTAGATGCTGGAGGAGTTGGTTATTTAATCTTTTTGTTCATGGTATCAATAGTCTCCTTGCTTAGAAAAGAAACATAAATTAAAAATGGTCTGTGTATGTCAGGCTTGTTCTGCAAAGACAGAAAGGAGGAGAAAATACCTTTTGAGGAGGGTTCGTCCACCTCTGTCACATCGTTGCCTGCACATTTCTGAACATCTGACAGCTTCTGTTAATTTAGTTTCACTCCCCTGTTCAACTTCCCATATGGAAAGCTGGAGTGATTTTTGAATAACAGCAAGTAATATCTGAAGTGGCAGCAACTGGCAACCCTGACACTGAGCTTGGCTGTGGCCTTTACGCTGGATCCTTCCGCTCTCCTTGAGAAGCAATTACAATTTCACAGGTTGGAATTAAAATTCCCCGCGGTCGGCAATAGAGTAACTGAAACTGTCAAAGTGATTTCAAGCTGTTAATCTCTCGCTGCTCGCCGTGAAAATAGAGCCTCTCATACCCATGCACAGGTCTGACAACTTAAAAACTCCAGACTTCCAGTACATTTAAATACATATGGAGAGTGACTTGATCTGATCACACAGAGGATATCCATAAAGATGTTATGTCTGTGAACATTTGTTAATAACAAGCCTGTCTTTGTTAACTTCATGATGTGTGTAACTTCAGAGGCTAAGACGAAGATAAAAGTCTCATGCTGGAGTTTGGGGAATTTGGAGGGATGAGCAGACATGTGCTTGTTTGTGTGAGGTGCCTGTAAAATCTTTGTTTAGGTAGTCTTGAACATGCAGTATTTTCTTCCAGAAAAAAAAAATGATCTGCAAGTTTATTGAATCTTATTTTCAATTATTATTTGTGTCCAAGTTTTTTGTTTTACTGTATAGGTAAGAACAAAGCTTATTTAGAAATCTTGAAACTGAAAGAAATGCCAATAGGAAAGCTGCAAAGCAGATTCAGACTAGGAGACAGAGCCCACAGAGTAAGAGATCAGCTGCAAAACACTATTTGACTTGTTCAGAGACAGGATTTGTGCATTAGATAATTAAAATTAGAATAACTGTTGGAAATGTGTTTGTACAAATATCCCTTAGTGTCTTCTTTCAGCTAAATATTTCCTTTCTGCAGGTTCATACTTAACACTGAATTGAACTTTTGCCATGTGCACATTGAATTCTGTCCATTCCCTCCCTCAGATGCTCTTCTCTTTCTTGACTCTCTTCTCATTCAAATTCTCCCAAAATCTCCTTTATCAATGTCAGGAATGATAAGATCATTTCTTTAGTGGTTTAGCTAAGCTCCATGTGATCCATGGAAGCTAAGGAAATGGAAGTTAAGGATATGTGGTCTAGTGATTCAGGTTGTTTAGATGATCGAAGTGCATGAGATACTTCTGTGCAGCAGTTAGAGCTGTATTAGCACTTATTAGCTATACAGGGTCTGTTTTATGCATCCTCCTCTTTCTTCACCAGCAAACATTAATCACTCCCCTTGTTTTATAGCTCCAAATAAACTCCACTTTGTATAATACCACTTGAAGAATCTGGAGTGATTAAGTTGCATGCAGCAGGACAGACTGAAGAGCAGTAATAATGTAGACTGAATTGTGCAGGTAGAGGTAATCCCCCCAAAAATAACAGCAGCAAATGTAACCAGATCAAGACGGACAAAATCTGTGTAGTTTTTGGTTGTGGTGGTTTTGTTGCTTTTCCTCCATGGTGGAGGAGAAGTAGCCTATGTGAATAATGCCCCACAAATGGAGAAAGGAAAATATTTGAGTATGTACTTGACAGTCTCTATTATCTTGGAAACTATTTCGGGATGATAGCTATTCCTGTTGCAAAGTAATGTTAAAGCGGTGTTTCACAGAGTATGATCTGGTCTGTTTTGTTGAATGTTGGCTGTAGGTAACAGAATGAGATCCCATGCAGGTGAGCAGACTGGTGGACTCAGGCTGGTGCCTACAACTCAGGCTGGTGCCTACAACTCGCGTGCTTCCAACATTCCCTCTGTCGCTGGCTGGGAGAACAGGCTGGTTGCACTCAGCTAAGCATAAAATATTGTGTCCACTCCCTTCCTGGGTGGTGGTGGGACTGGTGCTCTAATGTCAGCTGGCAGTGAGCTGTGCATTGGAGGAGAAGCTTAGGGGCCACAAAGTGCTCAAAGGAAGAGGCCTTGAGTTTTTGGCATCCGATGGGAACTGGGGACTGAGGGAAATGCATGTGATGAAATCCTGACATCATGGGAGATTTGGCTTTGTGTGGTTAGGATCTCATTACGGTAAAATCTAAAGAATAAATCTCTTTTATGGTTCTTGGAATACTTTGCTGCACTGACACCCCTTCCAGCTGCTTGTAACTCTGGGGATTACTGTGGTACATGAGACCAATTTATTTCAGCATTTGAGCTACTTCACACTAGTATTCCCAAGGGGAAAAGAAAACAGTCCATCCCATCTGGACTGTATCCTGTGACCCAGGCACATGCAGCATTGTATGAGGGAGGACACTCAGCTAATCACTGCCTATCACCCTGCTTGCTCAAACCATTATATTTGTTATGGCAGGATAGGATGGCAAAATGACTAAACTGTGACCAGCCAGCAATCTTACTTGATTCAGTGGCGCTCAGTAAATAATATGCACTATTTAGTGGCTTGGGCTATTTTGT